CAGGGAAGAGGCCCGAAGCAGGGCTAGGCTGAGGGCCAACCTGCACCTGGAATAGCCCGCTGCCTGGCACCAGAACAAGGTCCAGGCTTTCAAGCAGAGACCTGGAAAATTCATGGCTTTCTTAGGAACAGGAGGGCATGATTTGGGAGGGGAAAATGGGCAAAAGTGAGCCTGTAAATGATCAGTCAACAAGAGGCGAGTGTCTCTGCTCCCTTCCTCTTATATCAGAAAAACCCAGAATTGGGGCCAAAATGCCTGGGGTAAGAAGGGCTCCCATGGGAGAGCGCTGTGTGGCACAGGTCAGCTGAGAAGGCAAAAGCTGCAATGCAAGGCATAGCTCTCCAAAGTGAGAGAAAGGAGAGGCCGAGAAGCAGCAAGGCATTGTGTGCTGGAAAGCAGGGGCCAGAAGGAGGGGACACAGCAACAGTGGGGCTGGGGCAGGGAGGGTGCTTAGTTCTATAGAACTGTCACCAGGATGACTTGCCAGGAAGACACAGGCAATTGCATCACAACTGCTAGTGACAGCTCTTGAACTCCCTTTTGCCCTGCCTTCCCCCAAACCACACCCACCTGTTACTATGACATACTAGCAACCCAGGGAGCACTGATGGGCTGCAGGTGTCTGAAGAGCTTGCTGCTGAATGCAGAATGGTTTGCCTCTATCTAGGTACCCCTCCGCAGGCTCTCCATTGCTTGGATCAGATTCTCCAAGGGACCTCCAGCCCAGGAAGAGCATCTCCTGCTTCATCCCTGTCAGGTATGGAGAAAGATCATTCCAGAGGTAGCAGCCCCTATCCTAGTGACCTCTGATTTCTCCACCCTGAGCAACCCAGAACAGAGAGGGACTTTGAGAGAGGAGCAGAGCCCAGCCATGGGAAGAGGAGGCCGTTCCCTCCCCCGACTCACTGACTAAACATTTTCCTGAACATCTATGACAGCAGGCACTGTTTACATTTTGGAGTCCAGTATTGAACAAAACAGAGAAAAAGAACGCTTGCCAAGTAGATTGACGTTTGTGGTCCAGGGAGGGCAGCTTAACTAGGAACAAAGCTAGTGAGTAAAATACATAGCATGTTAGAAAGCACTACAGGTTAAGGGGGGTGGGAAGGCAGGAAGTGGTTTGGAAGGACTGGGAAAGCTGGGGTAGGGGAGGGAAGGATTCAGGCTAGATACAGTCATCAGATTCAGGATTACTGAGATGGTACTTGTGCAAAAACCCAGAGAAAGCAAATAACCACACCATGCAGCGTCCTGGAGAAAAAGGATTCCTGGCAGAGGGAGCAAGAAGTGCATGTGCCCTCAGACACTCTGCCTGGGAGTGCTTGAGAAAGCCGCTCAAGAAAGAGGTGAAGGAAAGCAGAGGGTTTTAGGAAACCAGGTCAGAGATGATGGGTTGGGGCAAGTAGTGCCTGGTAAGTCCCTTTAGAGCTGTTGACTCTCAACAAAAGGGAAAGATGACTCTCAGTAAAAGGGAAGGATCCTGAAGTGTCAGATTGAACGGGCTCACTCCATTTGTACTACAGCAAACAGGTTGCAGTAAGCTGGGGATAGAGCTGGTCTTGTGGCATAGCAGCTCAGGCTGCTGACTGCAAAGCCAACATCCCTTATGGGCATTGGTTCATGTACCAGCTGCTCCGCTTCCAGTCCAACTTCCTGCTAATATGTCTGGCAAAGGAGTAGCAAATTGTTCAAGCACTTGTGCCCCTGTCACCCATCTGGAAGACCCAGAAGAAGCTTCTGGCTCCACAATTTGACCTGTGCCATCCCTGGCCATTGTCATCATTTGGAGAGTGAACCACCAGCAGATAAAGGCCTCTCTCTGTCTGTCTCTCTATATATAATTCTACCTTTCAAATAGATAAATATAACTTTAAAAGAGAAAGAAGAAGGCAAGAATGACCAAGGGGAGATGAGGGTGAAGGCCATCACCATGATGTGGACAAAAAGAGATTCTGAAGTCTCCACCAGGATGGTGGTGTGATGACAGTGAGAAGTGGGCAGATTCTGGAAGGACAAAGCCAGCAAATGCTTCACAAAGGACTGGAAACAGCAGCAACATATCTCAGCAACTGCATGGGAATTTGATGGGGGACTTGCCTGCTAAGTGAGTCAGCCCCTGAAAGGAGAAATGACACACTTGTTACTGTGGCTGGGCCCTGTCCCACACAGGGCACTGGGTCTGGGAGCAGGTCATTGGTTCCCTCAGAGTCAAGGTTCCCTGACTGGCAAACAGAAAAATAGATACCTTCCTTTCCCTGTGTGCTTCGTGGGACTCTGCTGTCTTAAAATGCTTTCTCAGGCAGACATCTAGGATCTGGATTCCCTGAGTAACTTTGAAAGCATCTGCAGTTCCCCATCCAAGCAACTCTTGTCCCTTGTGTAAGTAAGTGGTGTTGCAGTCAATGTCCCCTGCCCTGGACTTTCCACCGCCCACAGGATGTACGCTTGACTTGCTTCTCAGATTAGTGGCCTTTGGGAGAAATCCCCCCTGGTGGATTATGACAGAGCACAGCCACTTACCATGGCTCAGCTCAGTCAAGCATCCCAGTGAAAGTACAGAGATGGCGTTTTGACTCAGAGCAGGTGTGTGATTAGGCAGCAGCCACATCCCATCAGTCAACACAGGCAGCCTACAGCGCTGGCCTGGGGAAAGCAGCAGACGGCAATATGGCTCCCAGGCTCATAAGCCAGAGCAAGAAGGGAAGTCATTACTACAATTATTCAGGCTGAACCAACACATAATCAAGTTTGAATAAATAAAATCTTTGGGCCCATAAGCATAGCCGAGGGCAAATGTGTGCAGGCATTCAAACTCCTCATCTTCTTGTAATTGCTAATGGCACATGTTTGTAAAAATGGCTGTGGCAGGTGCCCTGGAGTTGGGCTGTCTGCCACTTACATCACTACTTGTCTCCAATCCATTTGAGTAAGTCACAGGCCACATGGGTCATAGGCCATGACTGCCCTTCTGCTCCAGATCCTGGCTCCACTGGTTGAATTCTGAGTTTGGCTGAAATGAGTATAACTGTTCTCCAGAATCTTGCAGGCTGAGTTGGAGTTCATGGGAGAAGCCTAAGAAAGCCAGGCTGGCACAGCAGGATTTAGGGCAAGAGTAACCAGGGGGTTACTAGACATTAACAGGCAGTCATGCAAAGAATAACACAATAACAAAGTGAAGGACCTAGAGAAACCGACATGAGAAATTCAATGCCTGTGCTCTTAAGGCTTCTTGGTAGTTCCTGCCCCTGGCTTCTATGAACAGATTCTGTAGCTGCCCAATAAATCTCAGTTGAATAACATCACAGGACACCATTTTTACTTCCTGTAACCAAATTAGCCCTGAAATGTATCAATGAAGATTCAATAGAAATACAGGGACTGGCCTGGCATAATAGCTCAGTGACTAAATCCTCACCTTGCAAGCACTGGGATCCCATATAGGGGCCTATTCGTGTCCCAGCTGCTTCACTTTCCATCCAGCTCCCTGCTTGTGAGAAAGCAGTCAAGAATGGCCTAAAGCCTTGGGATGTGCACCCACATGTGAGACCTGGAAGAAGTCCTGGCTCCTGGCTTCGGATTGACTCAGCTCTGGCCATTATGACCACTTGAGGAGTGAATCAATGTATAGAAAATCTTTCTCTCTGTAAATCTACCTTTCCAATAAAAAGAAATAAATCTTTAAAAAAAGAAACATAGGAACATGTTTAGGTTAGATAATAAATGTAATTAAACTGCAAATATTCTATATTGGTCATTCAGTAAAAAGTATGTATATGCAGTACTTTAAAAAAGTGTGGAAATAGAATTCAAAGATCAGTTTATCCTGATGAAAATTTTTCTTGAAATCTGCATACTTTTTCATAATACACTCGTTTTTCACAAACTTTTTAAAAAGCTCTCCTATGAATGGAGCTCAACACATTTTTGTGCCAAAATAAACTTTCTTTGAACTTCATTTCCCATGAACATTTTGAAGTCCCCTGGCATAGGAATACTGGCTGAAAGGAAGACATAAAAACGCCTCTGGTGGTTGGAGGGATTATACTTTTTTTCCCAGATTTCCACATAATTATTGTGATGCTCTTGCAATTTTTAAAAGATGTGATTAAGCCATCAAATTCATCTTTAAGCCATGAAAGTTTCCATGAATGATTTCCAAAGTGACAGGTAGTACAGTCTATAAATAACTCTAGACTAACACAGTTACCCTGCAGGTCCTACAAGATATATATGGCCCTAAACAGATGAAGGAAAATGAAGCTTGGGAACTCCTACACAGTTTTTCAGAGTTATTTTTTTTTAATTAAGGGAAACAGATTGGCATGCTTGTTAATTTCAAGGTCTTTGGCAGGCTTTTAAAGTATACATGTGTGAAGATGTTGAACTTATCTGGATGATGAGATGCTGGACTCTGTGCTAGGTATATGCTCACAGGGAAGGAATCTCAACTGAACTTGAACTGTGGATACGCAACAAGGTGGAGGAATCCACCATGGGGGGAGGATTGGGGGAAGGGGAGGAATTCCAGTACCTAAAAAGCTGTATCACATAATGCAATGTAATAAATTGGGGGGGGGGGGAGTAAATGTTTGCTATGTTTCAGAAGTAATGTTATCCTAAAATAAATAAATAAAGTATACATGTGTGAATGTGTACAGAACCCTCAAACATGGAAACATCACTAGGAGTTCCACAGAGCTCTAACACTTGAGTCATATGTTCCAGAAAAGCATTGAGCACACAATTCACACATCCCTGCTGGACCCTGGACACAATTCCTGATTTTTCTCTGAGCTCTTTCTCCTCTCCTGGACAGCAGCTATGTCTTCTATGCTGATCAGCCTAACTTACCTTTCCATTATAGCTTCCAAACCAGCCTCGCCAGGCCCTACAGTTCCTCCACCAGGCAGGTTCAAAGGAATATCATATTCAGGACTACTTCCTCCTCATGCCTGTGACATCACAGACACCTGCCCAGGAAAGTTAGCAAGGGTCCTTACCTCCAGAGGGCATGCCAGCAACTCTCTTGAGGAACTTGACCCACTCTTCCATCTCTGCCTGGGAACTGGCCATGAGGACATAAGAGTCCTGTCCTGTGCGATTCTGGTCCCATGAGGCTGGAGGAAAAAGTAGCACAAGATGAAAATCTTTGGGTGGGAAGGGAGTAGAACAAGGGGGAGAAATGAAGTCATTCCTTGGGTAAATTCAGGCATTGGAAGTCAGATAGCACAAGAGCATTATCTAATGATGCCCAGTAGTATCCTGCACAGCTTATGTTGAAGCTCTAATCCTACGGACAAATCACAGGACACACCGGTTTCCAAGACAAATGGCTTGGGTTGAGAGTTGCTTCCACCCAGTATAAAAGCCATCTCTTACCAAAAGGACGAGAATGTTCAAGGTGCAATTTGGGTAGGAGGGGATGCAGGATCAACTCATGCAGGTCCAAAGACTTCAGAGCGCTACACAGTGATGAACACTTTCCTAAGATGACATTGAACTCAGCAGTGGGAATGGGGGAAGTATACAGCAATCCCAGATAGGAGGGGCAGCGAGCACGTGGATGCCTCCACTGAAAAGTCAGCACTTCCTATTCAGAAGACTCCTTTGCTGCTCATACAAGACACTGCCCACACACTCCTTTGCTTGCCAGTGGGAGGTTCTCCTGGGCAAGTTAGTTACAGGACATATGAAGCATTTCAGAACTTTCTGTACCACTGTCACTTTAAATCCAAGATTGCAGATGTGTGTAGTGTTTCCTAGGTTGCTGCTCTTAAGTGGACAAAGGAGTAAAGGAAGTGACAAGTGGAAGGGAGGAGGAGACCATGAGAAAGAATGGGGGGAAATGACAGAAAAGAACAATACAGAGGAGAGGGGGAAGTAAACAGGGAAGGGGAGAAGAGCAAATGTTAAGTCTTAGACCAAGAAGTAGCAGGTCTGAGACCAGGACCTTAACATCCTCCACCAACCTCCTCACAAAGTGAAATCTGCAAAGTTGAATATATTTTTAATTGGTTAATAAGAAAAAACGGATCTTTAAAAAGCGATGAAAAATGATTCCTTTCAATTGTAGGATACTATCAAATTTCAAAGTGCCTTTGTAAACATCAACTCATTCTTCTCCCAATGCGAGGCCACCTCATGCAGAGAGAGGCTGTCCCAGGGCCAGGTTCTGTTCAAACTTGTACTTTCTTGCAGCACAAAAAAGACATTCAACTTCCCCTTTGGCTCTGGTCTCTTAAACCTAATATAACCTCACCACGCTTCTCTATTTCTCACTGTTGGAGATAGCCTGACTAGAATTTTTCCTCAGTCATCGGTTCTCAGACCAGAAGATTTAGTCCATGAACAAACTGGCCATTCAGGAACACCTTGAGAACTGATTTTTCCAGAAATCAGAAAGTGTTCAATGCAGAAAGATCTCCAAGGTGACATGACAGCCCTTTGAAATAGATTAGGAAGTTACTAGTATTTCTATTTCACTTATGATAGACCTGAAGTTTAAAGATGCAACGCACCTGCCCATCAGGACCCTTGAATTATGGTCAAACTTGAACAGCACCACTGATCTTTTCCCCAAGACAAATTCTCTGCTAGCCCATACTGCTTCCAAAACTGATCTTAGTCAAAATGTACCAAGCCCCTTGGTCATCATATAGCTATATCCCAGTTTACAGTGCTATCAGTTGACCCTCACCCCTAAGTTCTGTCACAGGCAACGTCATTGGGAAACACCCAGGATGTCCTTCAATGGCTAGGACTTCCATGTCCCTCAATGGCTAGGACTTCCATGGTCTGACCTTTTGGGGGCAAGAGAGCTCATGACGTAATGACAAGATGGATTTGGGGTCAGGTTGCTCCAAAGGGTGACAGAAGAGCAGGTAGATGTTACTAAGATAGGTCTAGAAGGTCAGAGCCAATGGCATTTCAGTTATCTCTTGTCACCTTTAATTTAACCATCTGGGTTCAATTGGGGAACAAGGAAAAGCTTTCTTCCCATGACAGTATAGAAAACCCAATAAATCCAGCTGTGCCCTCAGGCACATAGTTTCCCAGATACAAACACAGTTAGGTCAGCACATGGTACCTGTTATGCAGTTTCTCTTAAAGGACACAGGCTAGGTTGCTTTTGTTATTCTAACGAATTTCTGTTCCTTCTTTATAACCCAAAATCACAAGTCAGTCATTCCAGGGAGCTTGTCTTAATATCTCCAACCCTGCCCCAGACTGACTGGGGAGTGTCTATAATTCCTTAACATCTTAGCCTCGCCTTACCATGGCAGGGACCCAATTATCCTAAACATATCTCTCCTTATCAGTACAATTACTTAATATATGGAGGGGGAGAGTATACAATTACTTCTTTGTACTTAATATGTGCAAAACTTAAGCCCTGATATTTCCTCCTGCCCACAAACAGGTCAACATGCTACCAGCACAAGTCTTAGCAAGTGCAAGTAGACCCATCTTTCCCGTTTAGACCAAAGCCTTGGGCCCACATCCAATCCATCAACAAAGTAAATCTGTCTACCTTCAAAATGTCCTCAGAAAGTGATTCTCACTCCCTTCTTGGTTACCCTCACTTTCTCACCTGCATCCCTGTTCTTCTTTAGCCTTATTAGTTGCTTGTTTATTCTTAACTCAGACTTTAAAAGCATGAACTATAGCATGTCACTCTTCTGCCCTTAAGCTCCCAATGGCTTCCCAGTCTTCCAGCATAAAAGCTAAAGTCCTTACAATTGCCTACAGGGCCAATAAATTCTGTGTCCATCCCTCTCAAATGCCCAACTGTTTCCTCTGTTAACATCAGCCCCCCTCCCAATATTCCTGGGACATGTGAAACAGGCTCAGGGCTTTTGCACTGCCTCCAGATATGCACTAGGCTCCTTCCTTCACATTTTTATCTGTAGTCAGTCTCCCTTCACTAATCCTTAAACTGTGTGCAGGGTGTTCTTTGGCAGAGTTCTTGTCCTATAATACTTCCTGGCTTGTAGCAAGTGCTCAATAAATGTGTCAGCTAAGAGAATGGAGGCATTTCCAAAGTGCGTATGATGAGACTTAATATGTAAGAAAAGAAGCAACCCCTCTACTTTTGGTGACTCTGAGGTAGGAGAGAGCAAAGGCACTCTGCTACAGGTCTGTAGGGAGGGGGAGACTCCATTAAAAAAAATTAGTATTATTAAAGAAAAGGATGCCTGCTTCCATTTAGTCTTTGTGCAGTTGCAACTCATGTTCACACAGGCAGGATCCTGGGGCCCTGAGCATCACTGACCATGGAGCATCACCTTGTATACAAGAGGATAACAAGAAGAAACTGCAAAATTCTCTACATCATGACCAGAAAAGGCCTTCATTCTTTAGGATGGGTAGAAACGTGGAAGACCTTTAGGAAAATGGTTCTCTACTCTACCATGGCTTCAGATTTATGTGTTCTCAGCAGGGGTGTGTGTGTGTGTGTGTGTGTGTGTGTGTGTGTGTGTGTGTGTGTGAGAGAGAGAGAGAGAGAGAGAGAGAGAGAGAGAAAGTGACCATGACTATGATAGGATAACCTTTCCCTCTCTTTCCTTGAATAGCAATCTTAAAAGGAATGGAACTTTGCAGATTTGTTTGAAAGATAAACAGCAGAGACAAAGAGAAAAGTTCCTCATGTCCTGGTTCACTTCCCAAATGCTTGTAACATCCAGAGCTGGGCCTGGCCAAAGCTAACAACCCTGGAATCCCATCTAGTTTTCCAACATGAGTGGCAGGGATCCAACTACTTGGGCCATCCATCACCTGTTGCCTCCCAGATGTGCATTAGCAGGAAACTGGAATCAGAAGCAGAGCCAGAACTCACACTCAGATACCCTAATATGGGATGACAGCATCCCAAATAACATTTTAACAACTGTGCCAAATGCTTGTCCCTGGTGCTGGGCTTCTGGTGGGAAGCCCATGGAGAATTCTCAATAGAGTTTCTGGTGCGGTGATCCTAGCTTGCAAACCCAAGCATTCTGTGAATGTCTGTGTTCCACAAATGTCCTGTGAGAAGTATCCTAGGAGTGAAACCCTTGTTCTTTTATCCCTAAGAGTGAGATGTTTCTGGACAGGAAAAATTGAGAAATCAGGCTGTTTGCCAAGGAGAGGAAAGAACAGACCTTCAGATTTAACAAGCAAAAAAAAATGCCCATGAGGCAACCACCTGAATATATTCTTCCCTTTGTTTTCTCTAAATTGTCAGTTGATTTGAGGATTTTCTCCCTGCATTATAATTCCCTTTTGTTGGGACTAGCCCTCTGACACAGTGGGTAAAGAAATGGCCCATGGGGCTGTCACCACATATGAGAGCTGGTTCGAGTTCTGGCTGCTCCACACGCTATCCCTGCTATTGTGCCTGGGAAAACAGCAGAGAATGGCCCAAGTACTTGAGTCTCTGCATGCATGTGGGACACCCAGATTAAGTTTCTGGCTTCAGCCCAGCCTAACTCTGGCCATTGTGGCCATTTAGGGAGCGAACCAGCAGATGGACAATTTCTATCTTTGCCCTCCCCTATAACTCTGCTTCCAAATGGATAAATAAATGTCAAATATATATACATATATATGTGTGTATATTTCTCTCTAGTTATCTCCCAAATGTCAAACTCTTACAAAGCATTAATATCTACTAGGCACTGAGACAAATGTTTTTTTAAACCTCATGATCATCATAATCTTTATCCACATTTTATAGACAAAGCATAAAAGCAGGAAGAGATGGAGAAACCTATTGCAGAAACAAAAAGTGGCAGGGTTGTGATGTGAACGTAGAGAGGCTGGCTGTAGCCCAAGCGCTTCTGGGCTCTGGGTTACTTTTCATCTTGCAACAACTCAACAACTTTCTCATGCACACAGATACCTTGCGTGAGTGGGGAGGAAAGGTTACGGGCAAGGGCACTTAGGTGTCTCCCATGCTGTGGTCAGAATTGTGTGGCAGCCAGGTGGTGAGGCTGGATCAGCAATCCTGGAACTCTGGCTGGGCTAGATCTGGTGTGAGAGCAAGAAGCAGAGAGGAAATGGGGAGAAGCACCCTCTGTGTGGAAGTCAGGAGCGTGAGCCCAGCTGCCATGTTCCAAATATATTGGCAGAAGAGAACTTCTGACTGGAAAGAGCACTTCAGTATTATGTGCACATGCAATAGGTATTGGACAACATCTGTTATAGTCAAAGCCGTCATTTCTCATTAGGTGACATTGAACTGTAGGAGACTGATGCCTTTCCTCCACTTTTGATCCACCAATATGACAATTTCACATAGCTCACTTTGTATCTTATCTTTCAGTTTTCATCCCATCTATCTCCCAGATTGAATTCCTTGTAATGGGTGAAGCCCAATCTTAATGGGCTTTACATTTTTCATAATTGTGTTTCAGTGTAAATGACAGTCCCTGGCTTCAAGCACACACTCATGAAATCATGAAATGTTAACAGAGTTAGCCAAATGAGCCCTCACTTAGTTCGTGGGTGTTGTCCATACCACTTGATTTAATATATGGACTTAGATAAGTTCACTAACTACACACGGAGCCATGTTACATCCTTTAAAAAGATTGATTGGTTGGTCGAAGAACTTCATTAAAGATCACCTTGACTTTCAGGATCCAGAAACAAATTGGGAATGTAATGTACCTTTACCCCACCTTGTGGCACCTACCTGGAATGACTTCAAAGACAAACTTTCCAGCCTCCTCAGGGTGTGTGGCAATCTCCTTGATTGCACTTCCTGGTAGATATATGGAGCCCTGAAAGATCAAAATGAGATCTTCAAGATGTGTAGTAATTTATCAACTATGGACCACGTTTAAAGTAGAGGACAGATAGAAAAGTGATGAAATGGAAGGAGGCCAGGTGGAGAGGAATCTGAAAAGCCAGCAGCCCAATCATAATGGGAACTTTCTGCTACTCAGGTCATGGTCAAATTAAGTGACAGCTGTCTGAGAGTAGGCTGGATGCCTGGAGAGAGTAGAACCAGGCCCTGATGTGCAATACCACACCACCCACTGCAATGCTGTCACCAACACTTGCTTCTTCTTACTTTTCCAAGGACTCAGCAAGACGCTTGATCTGTATGAAAACAAGTCTGAGGGTAGTGGGGCCATACACCTGCTGCTAGCAAGAGTAGTCAAAGGGATGAGCCACAGATAATCATCTGAGGGGGATGAGATTACCCAGTAGCAACAAGACCTACTGAGCAGCACTTTTGGGTTCCTACCACTAGCCAACCACCTTGAATGTATTAGTCACTGATTCTTTCTGGCAATTCTCATGGCAGGGTATCATCACATACATTTTGTAAATGAGAAAATCGTGAATCAGAAGATTTCTTGTCACTTCTGCAATGTCACAGAGCTAATAAGTAAGATAATGGAATGATGGCTCTTCCCAGAAATGAGTCTCAAGCCAATGATCCTTAACATTCTAGCTGAGATGGTAAGAAAGTCAGCGTAACCCTGCCCCCACCCCAGAGCCAGAAGCCAGGAGCCAGGAGGGAGGGCTCGGTAGGAAGCATGACATATCAGACACAAACACAGCACCAAAAGACAGGCCACTTCCGCCACATGCATGTGTGGTACTTTATCATTTATAATGCATTTCTCATATCAGCTCCATATCAGGATCATGACAAGATTTATCACTTCAATGTGGCAGACAAGGAAACCAGCACTGGTAACGTGCAAGACCAAGTGAATGCTCCAACTGACAGAAATAATCAGTAGCAATCAATTCTCACAAATCACATATCACTAGATGTTGAAGGCAATATGTCTGATCCTGAGCTGAGAAAACACATGTTTCCAACTTAAGAGAAGTAAAATGAACTTAAAAGTAACGTGTCTTGAGGTATTAGAATGAAAATGGCTAAGACTGGGTGAGAAAGAGATAAGATGTGAGAGAAGCACTAATTGAAAGATGTGAGAGAAGAGAGGGCAGAGCAAGACAGTGAAGACAGGGAGAGGAGGAGAGGGAAAGGGAGGAGAAAGAAAAGAAACCAACAATGCAGCAGAATTCTGAGGTTTCTCCACCTTCCCCTTAAAAGCAACTGATTCTTAAAATCACCTCTACTGCTAGTTATCATCTGTACTTAAGTCACATCAGTGCTGTCAGAACAAAATGACCCTGTGAGTATGTTCCTGGGCTGCTTTGGGCAAAGTATGGCATCAGAATCAAAGGCCATGCTACATTTTGTCAGGAAGGGACACTGCTTGATGGGAAGAGAAGGAACTAGCAACTTCAGAGGTGCCTGCCTTCCCTAAGTGCCACTCTAAACGGTCTAGTGGTTATCAAGCTCGTTTCATCAGAAAGTAGTAAAAACAAAATAATAAAAAATATACAGACCCTCTGTTGAGTAGTCACTAAATGCCAGACTGTGCAAACTGCCCTGAATATATCAGCACATCTAATCTGTGTAAGGACTCATATTTCTTCTTGGGAGAGGAGAGGAAGTAAGGCTCAAAGAAGTTCATTAGTTGACAGCTGACATGAGGTCATAAAACAACTTCATAAGAAAATTCTGACTCAATCCTTCATCAGTGCAATTCCAAAATTACAACCTTTACATGGAACCCTCAGAGCTAAGCTTATTCACACTGAGACAGAAATGATTAACTACAGGTCCTGACACTGAGCCTGACAGCCTTAACATCACAGACAAATCAGAGAAGACGGGCAGAGCGAGAGGAGCAAAAAATGGACATTGATGGGGAAGGGTCCAATGTGTCCATAAGCACTTCCACTCCGTGTGCCAGCTGATGAAGGTGGATGCTGAGGGAGGGTGAGGTGCAGGCTGAGGCCACCAGTCCTGCAACCACAGAGCTGAAATGACAACAGAGACATGGATGTGCTAGAGCCAGCTTATACAAGCTAGCAAGATCTATCTCATTAAGGGGCATTGAGAGCCTGTTATTAAATGCAGCTGCTGTACACTCACAATTGACACGTTTTACCAATCAAGATAATAATACAAACAAAAATATGCTTCCTAACTATCGAGACTATAGAACAACAACCACAAAGCTCACAGGGGATGAAATGAAAAGCTAAACTTATTTGTATGTAAAAATTTTTTGAAACCCAGGTATGATTTCTTTCACAGCATGTATTGTCAACGAATGTTTTGAAGCCCCCTTATATGTTACTGTTATTTCTGCCGTTGCAGTTGTTTACATGGATTCTCTGTGTGGTAGACACTCTGTAAACAGCGCTGTTGTACATCTCATCTCTGAGTGCTGTCACATGCTATCTTGAATCACTCAGGATGGGAGCACTCAAGCCACAGAAATTGGTGAACACTGCATGAAAATCAACTCCTCTGCCAGAAAGTTGGTCATGAACCATTTACCAGAACACCACTGACAGAAAGGCATCTGTTAGGTTAAATTTCTACCGCTAGAAATACAGTCCAGGAGCAGGTGTTTGGCCTAGCAGTTCAGCTGCAGGCATCCCAGGTTAGAGGGCCTGGGTTTAATTCTTCCCTCCAGCTCCCTGCTTAATTCAGACTTAGGAGACAGCAGTGATTGTACCAATAATTGAATTCCTGCCACCCATGTGGGAGACCTGAACAGAGCTCCCAGCTCCTTGCTCTAATCATGGTTTAGCCCCAACCCACCCTTGGTCACTGTAAGCATCTGGCAGCTTTCTCTCTGTCTCTCTTCCTTTCAAATACATAAACATGATTTTTTTTTATAAAGTAGGCCAGATGATTTGTATGTTATGAAAGGCATCTTAACCTCCAGATTGCTATTTCCAGAAAAAAAAACTGTGCATGAAAATTCCTGCTTTCAAGTATTGACTTACTAAACTCCAGGAAACTTTGTTAATTTGATAATTGGAAACCGTGTGTCTCAATAGCTTACATTGTATATCTTTAATCATGGCTGATAATGAACTTTGAAATTCCTTGGCAAATTGTCCTTTTGTATCATTTAGCTTTCTATTCAGCTGTCGGGATTTTATTATGGACCTAAAATAATACTTTATGAAGAAGATATGTTCACCATACAGATACACACTTTTTTCCTATTTATTAGTTGCAATTTCACGTTATGATGCTTCCTCAGATATATATATTTTTGAAACAAAAATTGATCTTTCCTTTGTGCTGTGCTGTTACACTTTAAGAACAACAACCCCCAAAGATTATGCAGGTAATTACATTCTCCTCTGGCATTTTTACTTGAGTTTTTATATTTAAATTTACTGCACCCAGAACTGTGAATGTTGTAAAGCATAATGCAGAAGTATATCATGACTTTCTGCAACTTTTCATATATTTCTTGCAATGGCTAGAAATCCCAAAACAATGTTAGAGTATAATAACAGCGTCTTATTTTAAGTAGATCTTACATTATTTTGATGAAATTGTACCTTGTTAAAAATGTACAAGGATGTCCAGATGTGCACTTAATTCTTGGTTTTGATCATAAAACACTTTGTGATAATAATACATGACTATCCATACAATTTCCCAACAGTGGGAAATTAAGTAAGTTATAGAATTTCCATGTAAAAGATCATTTTGTCACCATGAGGAATTTTATATCTGAAGTGAGTATTGGTGTTTACCAGGTGCTTTTTTTTCAGCCACCTGTTGAGGGCTGCATGATTTTTCTCACTTGCTCTATTGGTTTGTATTGTATCAATAGGTTTTCTAAAAATAAACCATCCTGTCGGCCTAGAGGAAGCTTTACTTAATTATTTCAGATTCATTTAATCCTGAGAAAGCTCGGGGCTCCCTCCTCCCACAAGTAAAGGGGAGAAATAAGGCCTTTCAAATATTTATTTTATTCTTCGGCATGAATTTATGTTTTTCTAAATGACATATCTCTCGTGCCACAGAAACGGTCCCAGTGCCCTTTCCAGGAACTTGAAGTGGCCTGATCCTCATCGCCTTCACCCTTACTTCCCTCTGCTAGGGGAAGGCTCCTTGCATTGTTCATCATGCCAGCTGCTGCTGGCTTAGCCTGGGATGGTGCAGCTTTCATGAGGTGATGCTTATTCGAGAAGACAAATCTGGCTGCCAAGCCAGGACATAAGGCCACAGTCCAGGCTTTGGTAAAGTCTCTGGGACCCCTCCTTGGCTTCTGTAAGGAAAGACAGAATACTGGGAGCCCTCAAGTGCAGGATCCACATAGCCAATTCCTGCTATTACAAATTCTCAAGTCTTCCATTCAAGCCAACTAACCCCATCCAAAATGGCCATTTCAAGTTGGTCCCCTACAGCTACACTTCCTATCTTCACCCATGTTGACTTAAAAAAATTTTTTTTTAAAGTCTGGCTCTAGAAGGTTCTAGAGTCTGTCTTCTTTAAGAAGTAACTCTGGCCCAACCCATTTGCATAGACACAAATTCTGGGTTGAGTTTCCAGGCATCTGGATTACCCCTGAGGTCCAGGGTACTCCTTAATACAACCATCTCACTCTCATATACCCCAGTGTCCTGGACGCCTTAGTGGGGTGGGGAGAAGAGACTGAAGCCCAAGACCTGGGACCACAGCTCACTCTCAGAGTTTCATCCTCTCCACCAGGAAGCCATCTGCTCTACCTTCAATGCACACCCAGAATCTGACCATTTCCCTCCAGCCTGTGACACTAGCTGATATGCTCAACATCATAACCTCTTACCTGGAAGATCTGCGCACCTCCTCCACAGCCCTTAATTGGAATTGTACACAGCAGCCAGAGACATCTTCTTACAACAGGACTCAAAGAAAGCCGAACCCTCTTGCACCTCCCTGTGACTTTCAGGGCGCTTTATCCCCTGCATCCAACCCTGACCCTCACCCTCACCTGTCTGATCTCATCCGCCACCACCCCCCCCCCCCCGGCTGCCCCCACAATTCTTAATCCTTACTCCTGCTTCAGGCACACTGACCTTGTTCTTGCCATTCACACTAGACTTGCAAGCCCTTGGGCCTCTGCAAGGAAGGAAGGCTCTTTTCCCAGAGATGCACCTAGTTCATTCCATCCCCTCCTCAGTCTTTGCTGCAATATCACCCTCTTTATGTGGCCACCACAATCACATTATTGAAAGGTGCATGGCCTAGCAGGATGGCTCAATTAGCTAATTTTTTTTTGTTGTTGTTGCTTACATTGTATTATGTAGTACAGTTTTATAGGCGCTGGGGATTGCCCCCACCCCTCCCATGCCCCTCCCCCCATGGTGGATTCCTCCACCTTGTTGCATAACCATAGTTCAAGTTCAGTTGAGATTCATTGCTTGCAAACACATGCCTAGCATAAAGTTCAGCGTCTTATTGTCCAGATAAGTTCAGTGGCCTCTTGGGGAGACCTTCTATGGTCTGAAGATAGGTCTAACAGAGTAAAGATCCGGTCAGTTAAAAGCCCCAACAAGGCCTCAGTATCAATTAGCTAATTTTCTACTTCCAGGCACCAGGATCCCATGTGGGCGCCAACTCATGTCCCAGTTGCTCCACTTTTCATCCGCTCCCTGCTTGTGGTGTGAGTAGAGAATGGCCAAAGCCTTGGGGGACCCTACACCTCTGTGGGAGACGCAGAAGAAGCTCCTCACTCTTGGCTTCGGACTGGCTCAGCTCTGGCCATTGCAGTCATTTGGGGAGTGAACCAGGATTCAGACTATCTTTCTCTCTGTCTCACTTTCTATGAAATCTGCCTTTAATGCATTTTACATTGTTCTTCATACAACCCAGACATTTTTAATAAACTATGTACTTGTCTTATCTAATATAGTTTTCTATCTTTCTCCTTATATCCTATGGTCTATATCACAGAGATTTTTATCTGTTTAACTCCCTAGCTGATTTTCAATACCTAGAATACAGGTAGTTGGCACACAGTAAATGTATAATAAATATTTTTTGAACAAAATGATTCTCCAAATCCATTTTTCTAAACCTCAATCCACGGTCTTTGAGCCTTTGACTTAGGGTCACTTCCATCGACCCTGTGTCACGAGCCTTGAAACAGAGCTGCATTGAGAAGACCCCATGGTTCCTCTTCCTTGCTCCCACCCCCACAACTCCTACAAATGGCCCTTGCAACCCAGCTTATGTATTTAGAAACTGGTATGGAAGCAAAAGCAACCACCACTCAAATGCACCTGTCTTATCCTATTGAGAAGGTCCCTGTGAAGTTTAGTAGAATCATGGAGGGCTCCCTGCCACCTTCTCCATGTTGGGATACAGACAGCTGCAAGAAGGGGTGGGAGTGGGAAGCACAAACAGTATGTCTGTACCTGAGGTTTCATGTCCTCTTCGTCCTTGTAGTAGTAAAGCTGCTGTGCCCTCAGCACAAAGTACCGCTGCTGCCAGTTCCTCACAATGGACCTCTGCTTCTTCAGCCAGCCCATCTTGATGGGCCTCTCCAGTGGGTTGGGGGTGGCTGACAGGTGACAGGCCGCCATCTGCTCACCGGTCATCACGCTCCTGGACCGAGCTAAGGAGAGGAGCAGACAGGCAGGTTGACTGAGGGACATTAAGCAGACACCAAAGAGCAATCAAGGAGACAGAGAGGAAGCCCAGAGGGGGCTGGGAAGCAGGTGGGGCCACCACCAAGTCAGAATCACGAGTTCAGGGGAAGCCAGAGGGGCCGCCGAGGGGCCAGCTCCTGCTCTGGGTCAGACTGAGACCAAGACATACGCAGTCCGGCAACTGCCTGCGGCCCCCTCATTCTACAAAGTGAGAGATTGGCTGAAGCCTTCTGAAGAGGAAGTGGCCACAGCATCTGACACAAGGTGCTTCCTTTTCCTGCGTGGGAGTCAATATCTGACAAGAGAGAGGAGAAAATAAGGGCTCGATGAGTCCTACGCAGCTGCAGGGGCTACCGGAAGCCGCCTGGGCGCTCTTCCATGGAAACGCTTCACGAGAAGGAACCAGTCCTGTTGACCCTGAGCTTGCTATGGAATGGGGGACCCCAAGAAGATGCCTGGCCCTCTCCAACAGCTCACACTAATCATGTCTGTCTGGCCAGGCGGGCAGCCTACAGGGAGTGGGCACTGTCCGTATTTTCCTGCAGTGTTCTCAGGTAACATTAGATCCCTTGTTCACCGAGAATATTTACAGCATTGCCACTGGACCTAGAACCTCCCCTAACACTACCAACGGAACTCAGCACCAGCACTGGAAGCCAAGCATTCCCCCCCCTCCCAACCCCTAACCACAATCACTCTGCCTCTCACCGAATCAGGTGCAGGACTGTCCCTTCTTGCCTGCTTGGTAACCCCATAGTCATTGGTCCATCACTCTGGTTCCCATTCAACACTTCTTCCTGACCCTCACCTTCCTTTTATGGCCCAGTCTGTTTGACCATGACCTTAAAACCAAGTTAGGAGCCCTCTGTTTCCTATACCTCCTGTATTTGCTCCATACCTACACTCTGCAGCCCTCTCCTTCTGCTGAGCATCGCTGAGAAGTTTGCAGCTTACAGACCCTTTACTGAGCTTCTATCAGTCCCCAGAACATCCACAACATACCTAATTAAACCATCAGCTCATCCCTGGTGAGAAGGCAGTTTTTCCTTTCTTGGCTTTTCCACTGTGAATAAAGTATGTGACTTGTCTACATTTCATTTCCTCACTTGTAATATCAAGTTATGTGTGTTATAACATACATCTACAGACGTGAGGGAGGGAGAGATAGAATGAAAGAAGTGATTTATATACAAGTTTTGGAAGAATATAGAAGAGTGAGGCATTCTGGTAGATGCAGGGACATTCTCCTCCATTTCCATAGTCCCAGTGTTGTCTATGCCAGTAAGGCTTTAGTGATCATCCACCTGAAGCCAGCCATGAGAGGGAGGGTTCCTGGCTAGGAGCAGCGTCATGAGGGGCCTTCAGCCTCTAGGGTGATGATTTCAGATGGAGTCAACCCAAGACATGGGAAATAAGGCAGGTGCCTCACGAGAGCTGTAAGGATTCAAGTCTTGTGAGCCACCTCCTCACCCCGAAATCCACAGAAACTCACAACAATGGAAAGATTCACTATAGAAGACAGAAGAAACTGAAGGTATCCAATAGCATTTGAAGAGGATTAGGAGTTAAATAATGTAGATGAAAGAGAATTGATTCACTACACAACTCAGTGGCTGGGATATAATTTTGTACTTTTTTCTGGGAAATTTTTCCATGTTCCCTGGTGTCACATGTATGAATGACAAAACAAACAAAACAAAACAAAAACCTGTGCATTTCAGATTGGCCCAGCAAAGGCAGGAGGATGTATGAAGACCTTGTGCTCTCAGAAACTGCCTGCAGGTGCTTGATGCCCTTGGGACAGAAAGTCTCATCTGCCTTCATAGTCAGACTAATCATGACTAATCAGATTCTATAAATGACTCCATGAACCCCGCATGGAAGCAATGTTTCTTTAGTGCCTACTGTCAGTCTACCATCATTGTTGTGAGCTTGGGCCCTGTGCCACTTGTACAAAGCTGCACACCACTGGAGTCAGTCCCAAACACCGAAGGGTGGGGGCTCAGACAACCATCGCATCAGCACCGGAGCGTTCCATGGCACATGCAAAGTGATCTTCAGCCTTAGCCCACAGCCCTGCTCCCCTGTCAAGCCTGTTGCCTTATTATTCAAGGCCTGGGAGGCTTTGATTTTGGCTTGGTTTTGACTAATTTTCCTTGCTAATTTCTCCAAGCAATCTCTTTTCTTTGTGGCTGTGAGTTGTTCCCAGAAAAAGTAATCAATGAGATCTACTATGATTGGAAGAATATGGAAGAGTGAGGCATTCTGGTAGATGCAGGGGCATTCTCCTCCATTTCCATAATGAAAAGTAATGAAAGTAAAAACTAGATAAACTTTGCTGTGAGCCAGTCATTGTGCTCTGAGAGCCTACTCCCCAGTCTTTTGGAAGGGAGGTCTGGCAGGCCAGGGAGACAAGGTAAGAAAGAAGCTGCTCAACACCAATGCAATGTTCTAGAACAAGTGGTAAATGTGTGTCTCATTGAGGCCTGAAACCCACATTTACTCTGGCAGAGAAAGAACATGCACCAAACTAAGTCCGATACAGTAGCCATTAGCCATGATGCCTGTGTACTTTCCGGTGATTTAAAAGTTACAACTTGGTTTCTCCATCACACTTCGCACATTTGCAGTGCTCGGCAGCCCTGTGTAGCTCATAATCACAGGATGACACAACACACAGAGAGAACATTTGTGTTACCATAGAGTGGCTGTTGTCCAGCCATTCCTGGAACCTGGAGATTATTGGTTGCAAGCACAGCATCCAATGAGCCGTTTCTCCACACACAGAAATCAAGCTGGAGGGCTTCTAACTGACAAGGCTTATCTGGAAGAATCAGACATTCAACCTTGATCTTAGAGGGAACAGGGAGCCCTTTCATGTTCCTAAACAAGGGAAGGCCACAGTGAAATAGAGCTGACTTACCTAATTGAGCTACTTATGTTGTATTTCAGTCTTTAGGTGAGAGAGGGTCACAGAAAGGAAAGAAGAGAAATAGGAAGAGAGTCCCATTTGCAGTGATGTTATTTCTGCAGTAGAAATTAACTGCCCCTCCCCTCTTTTTTTGCCCTAAATTAGAGAGAAAGAAAATTAAAGAAGGAAGTAGTCACGTAGATATCATCTGGGACATCTTATCACTCCCTTTTTTCACCTTTTATCACAGACTTTGGATGCAAGACGAGAACAGTGCTATTATCGTAAGAACTTCCAACATAGCATCACACCTCCTTGAAAAGCGTCTGGCTAAGGGATGACCCTTGACAAAGTTTGGCTGAGTGAATAAGAGAAACATTTTAGAAAGAAATGGGCAATTGTCAAGGCTTGCAGTATCGGTTTATTTGTCAGGCTTCTTGTGTCCACACAATCAGAGTGGCCAGGAGGAGATGCAACCCCTGATCTATTCACCATAACCATCAGTGGTTATTTACTGAGAAGCTGTCACGTGACAGCCAGAGTGCGAGCGCTTCAGCTGTCTGGTCGTGGTTCATGCTCATACTCTTTATGAACATGCCTGCTTGTCACTCTCATTTTACAGACAAAAAAGTGGAGCTCAGAAACACAGAAATTTTTTCCCCATTAGGAGAAGCTAGAAACCCAATCTCAAAGCCCAATGTGCATCCTTAGGCCAGCCAGTCTGGAAAGGACCACATATTCCATGGGTGAAGAGGGCTGCCCACATGGGGAGTCAATGTATGGTCATTCACAGGGTTGGAGAAGAGAGAAGTGGGCTGGGTACTAAAGCCACACCTTCTACTCCATCACAGGAAGCACTTTGTCCTAGTCATTTCCTGTGCTATAACAGGATATCCAAAACTGGTCACTTGTAAAGAGCAGAGTTTGCTTTCCATCCTGGAGGCTCGCAAGTCCAAGAGTACAATGCCAGCACCTGCCAAGGGCCTTGATGCTGTACCACCCCATGACCAATGCTAAAGGCAGAAGAGCAGGGGGAGGGCAACAGAGAAGAGCAAGAAAGGACCACACTCTTCCATTACAGCTCACTATCGTGGTACTTAAACCAGTCCCACAGTAACAGCATTCTTGACCTCATCCCCTCCTGTTAGGTCCCACTTCCTAACACAGCTGCATTGTGGACTAAGTTTCCAATACAGAAACTCTGAAGGACACATTCAGACCTTCACAGCCTGCCTCAGCCCCACCCATTCGCCTCCGTCTTGTGCATAAACAACATTGTGCTACAATTTCCGCCCACTGTGTGCTCTGTGTGGCTCAGCAGGTCTTGACAAAGTGACAAGAGAAATGCTACTGAAACCTCCAGCCCACCACCAAAGCTGTGCTGACACCCCATGGGGAAATGGACATATTAGGAAATCCACCCATGTTATACCAGCTCTCTGCCCAGGCTCTTTCCAAGAGACCTAAACATTCTGACCAAAGCCCAGAGCAGCCAAGGCGTGGGAAGGAGGAAGCCTGTGTTAACCCAGCAAGGGGCCAGCACTCAGCCCACACAATGGCATGCCCTCACCCGAGGCCAAGAAGGAGCTGCTGGAGCCATCTGAAAGAGCCATCTGAAAGAGCTGTCTCATCACAGACATGGCAGATGACCATTCTGACAGCCTTTCCCACAGCCGGCACAGCACACGCAGGCCTCAGCAATCCTACACAGGCCAACCTCTGCCTGTCACATGACCAGACTGTGGGACCATGGCCCTGGGTTTCTGCCCAGAAGAAAAGGTTGGCATTTGATGCCACTTGCTTCATTCCTTCTCTGTCTGAAAAGTAAACTGCCTTCCATTTAAAAGCTGCTGGGCCCGGCAGCTAAAGTCCTCACATTGCACTCGCTGGTTCTAATCCTGGCGGCCCCACTTCCCATCCAGTTCCCTCCTTGCGACCTGGGAAAGCACTCAAGGACTGCCCAAGGCCCAAGGCCCAAGGCCTTGGGACCCTGCACCCGCATGGGAGACCCAGAAGAGACTTTGGGCTCCTGGCTTTGGGCTCCTGGCTTTGCGA